AAGCCTTCCAGCACCTTGTCACTTCAGATATAGCTTTTTCGAGAATATAATCAGCGTCATGATGCGCCAGAGGTGCGCGGACTTTTCCGTGTTTTGTATCTTCCACATCACGTGCACATACGCATAAATGCACACATATATGCAGTGAGACGCAAAATTATTCGTATGGTACAAGCAATTTCATTTGAAATATTACATATATATTTCGAATATTGAAGCAGATATTTCATATATATATATGAAAGATAGAAGAAAAGAGCCGACTAAAAATCATGATCCATTTCAAAAACTCTTTGGTCAATACAAAAGCATTGGTGGCATGATTTCATCATTTTATTACTGAAATGGCGAGATGTAACCGTTTCTCCCTTGTGGAATTCACTTCCGGCTTCTTACTTCCGAGTCAACTTTGTTGTTCAAAGATTTAAATTACATGTCAATCTGTTTTTAATTATTCTTTTATTGTCCACTCTCCTTAATAGTAGTTTTTCTCATATTCTCTAACACTCAGTAACCTCTTGCATCCTAGTGGCTTTATTGCCTTCGATCTTTAAAAATTTAAATGCAATGTCAAGTGTAATCTTCTGTCTTCTTAAAAACGTTTACTTAAATGTCATCATTTCAAGATTTAATTGGAATTTACCAGGACCTACTTGGGAAAACATGGAAAGATTCATGCAACTCAGTTTTATGGAGTGAGCAAATTAAAACTGAATTGTTTGGTTGGAATCAGGCATAGCGAGTGTGGAAATAAGAGTAGAAGCCATGAATCGTAGGAACATCTTCTATAGTATCTGTCTATATTTCTGAGATGAGGTATTATGTACACTATTTACATTGTTTGGACTATTGTCCTCATCTTTGTCGCCATATTTATTACAACGTTTCGGCCTTTCAGTATCTGTCTATATTTCTGAGACGAGGTATTATGTACACTATTTACATTATTCGGACTATTGTCCTCATCTTTTTCGCCATGTTTATCACAACTTTTCGGCCGAACACATGGCACAGTGGATAAAGGCGTTAGTTAGATCCAGTGACAGGACCCAAAGAGTGTGAGTTCAATACCTGGTTAAGGCAGTGGAGAACTTGGAGAGGGAAATTAACAGGAGATAACTGATAACTGACATCTATTTAAACATGGCACGTGGAACTAGCCCAGTGAGCGAAATAAAGGGTTCATTTCGACATTCTAAACGGCCGAAACGTTGTGATAAACATGATGACAAAGATGAGGACAATAGTCCGAATAATGTAAATAGTGTAGCTTCTGTAGTGTGAAACATGGCGTTTGTAATAGTATGCTTTGAGTGGGGTTGTAGAAATGAAACAGGCTGTTTGTTTTAAATCGTCAGAAACACGAATAAAGAACTGCATCGTATTATTATTATTTATTTATTTATTGTTATTTCACTCAATATAAAGATCAAGGAGCACTCAAGTTAGAAACGAAATCTGGAAGATTCTGCCAGATATCGTTTTCTGGAAGATAATGTCTCTCTTTATAAGATGATAAAAGTATAAATGTATCTGAAGATAAGAAGATTACCTTACTTGCAATATGTCCAGATCTGAAGTCCATAGAAAATCTTAGAAGGACTTGAAGTTAGGATCCATACAAACCAAAGCTTAAATTAAGAATAAGATCTCTTTTTTCTGCAATAATAGAAGCATATGCATATTATTGACATTATTTGTGCTATTGTCGCCATATATTTAATTACAACATTTGTTGTATACTCCGACCTTCATCAGGGGGGTTGGAATGTCGAAACCTTTATTTCGCTCACGTGCCATGTTTAATGGATATCAGTTATCTCCTGTTAATTCTCCAAGTTCTCTACTGCCTTAACCGGATATTGAACTCACACTCTTTGGGTCCTGTCACTGGATCTAACTAACGCCTTTATTCACTGTGCCATGTGTCCTTAACATTTGTGCATGAATTTCTGGGTATTATAAACCTAATGTCTTCAGCAACCATTTTTACCAGATTATTTGCTAATTACGGAAAACGTTTAGGCTGTTATTGACCGAAAGAGCCATGCCATTGAATATGAGCTGAAGAACATGGATGATTTAATTCTTGGCGCCTTTGTTCCTCCTATGTTTCATAATGTTACCATCCCGAATAAAAAAGAATCTGAAATATATTATGAATATTTATTCAAAACCTAAAAACGTAGAACTTTTATATAAAAAATATAAGTTTCAATATTTGAAAAATTAATTTTATCATTTTAAATTAAATTGTATCGTATAGATAGTTTAGTTTCAAACGTTATTATACCGAACGTTTGAAGTAATAATAATAATAATAATATATATATATATATATATATATATATTTATATATATATATATACGCCAACTATACACGAGACGAATTTTCACTGAGAAATATCATAAAGAAATACATTACCCCAATCGACACGAACAAGAAAATTAAATTAGATATCTATTAAAAAAATGAAAACAATTAACCTTATCAGCAAAAATAACAACACACCTGCAAAATAAAAATTACAAAGAACTAACATTATTTACGAGTTCATATTCCCCTTAAGGAACTGTGTTCCCGATCAAACCAAACTCATAAATAATTACATTGGTCACACTACTATATGTCTATCCAAACGTGTTACGTTACACCTATCCAGCCAAAGTTTCCTTAGAATACATTTAAACACAAACACACAGACTTACACAGACTCCATCCGAAACATACTAGTAAAAAATGCAAACTTAACAACCTCATCCAAATGTAAAAAGGAATAAAAATAATGGAAGCCCTAATAATAAGAAAAGAAAAAGCCAACACTCAATAACATTAATTATGAACACGGCCACAATGTACTGACCGTGTTTGGAAAATAAAACGTTCCGATAACTCTAGATGCATATATAAAACAACCCAAACATTGAATCAAAAGTAAAAATAATATCATCCTTGATAATGGCTAGACGTATAGCCAAAAGCGCTCGGAAATGCAGAACTTTTGGACAGTTTTTAGACACATTGTGTCCAGAAAAACTGAAATACTTGTGTGAATACAAAAAAACGCCCAATCGCAGTACCATGTCAGTCGTCTTTAAAGAAACACACACACACAAACACACACACACACATATATACAGTGTAACCCGGATATAACAGACCCGGATTTTGAAAATAAATAAATAATTGTTATAATTCTTTTTCTATCCTTTGCAAATGATTCAAATTTTAGTATGTTATTATGGATGATAACGACTACCAGTTGTCAAAATTTCAGCTTTTCACAGTTGTTATTTCTAACAAATATTAGGTTTTAAAATTTTGTCCCTTAGTTTTGGACGCTACTGTATATCAGTCAGTTATGTGCCTTGCGTGATACACGCTTAGGCGATCATGTATCTTCGATACATGACTGACGAGGCAGATTTTTTTTCCGCAGTAGGTTGCTATTTCTTTTTGTGGTAGATCAGTTGCCATCCGGTCTGTCCTGCTGTTTCCCCATAGCTGAGGGTGGGGGGAGACGAGCATTTATACCTTTCCCAAAGGTATTAGCACGTAAATGAATGCCTTTAAAATTTAGGAGTTTAGATGAATACGCGACATATATATATATATGTATGATGGATTCTCCCGTCGAGTTCGACGTATGAGGTTCCGACGACCACGAACTAATTATTTGCATGCCTAAGACAGGCATGACTTTTGAGACCGGCTCGAGAATTATACAGAAGAATACAGAAGAATATATTGTATCCAAGTGCAGCAGGAACACTGTTAGATGTCTTATTTTGCTTTCTTGTTTCATGTCGTCGACTGATGGTTACTATTCAGTGCAGCTATATCAATGTTGTACTTCTTTAGCTCCAATGCAACTAAAGCTGTTTTTCTTTCTGTTGCTGAGTTGTTGTCCTGGAGAATTCGTACATTCCAAGTGCCAAGATGAAGTTGATATTGTTTTGTAGAGTTTTTTGCAGTAACCAGATATGTGTAGAACTAATTAGATGTAGTTGTCAGAAAAACAATACAATGATTTGTTTCAAGTGGTGAAGGCTTGTGTAGGACCATCCATACTTTTTGGATCTGTCGATAAAAAAGAAACCGTGCAATATATATCTTTTTCACAAATATTTTCATAGTAACTTCTCTGATGAGCTTTTTTCCCCTGTTTCGCCGACTACATGAATTTAAGCGTGCTACTAAGTTGGCGTCTTGGTCACACTGTTTTAATGTTGAAATAGTTAAATTTCACCGCCACAATTTCTTTGCTCGCACTTCGCGCCTGTGGAGCTCCATTACGTTTACTTGCGTCCCTGAAAATTACAATCTTCAAAAATTTAAATGCAACGTCAATCGCCATCTTCTATCTTCTTGAATCCTGTTCATCTTTTGTTCTTTCCTCAATCCTCCCTGTGCCCAGTCTTTTCTCTTACATTCTCTGCTATGTAATCTCCTGCGTACTAGTGGCATTCCTGCCTTGTTTGGAGTGAAATGATTAACAAATCTTAAATGCAACATCAATCGCCATCTTCTATCTTCTTGAATCCCGTTCATCTTTTTGTCCTTTCCTCAATCCTCCCTATACTCAGTCTTTTATCTCACATTCACTCCCTATAACCCCCTGCGTACTAATGCAATTTACACTTTGCTTGGCGTGAGATGATTAAAAAAACAAAAACAAAAAAGTATATTATTTTACACACAACATTTATTTTTTATTATAAACTCTTTTCAATGTACTTATTTCAATGGTAAATATTTATCTCAAAGAAGATTATGAAAATTATGTTAATAACTACTTGTCAGGTTTTGTCTTAGTTTAAATGAAAAACGTGTCAATAAAAAATTAGTGTCTAAATACATATGAACAAAAAATAGTGTCAGACCATCGTGAAAGGAATACTTTAAAAACAACTATTAAAAAAAAAGTTCATTTCCTTTGCTTCTTTACACCGATTTTGTGGTCGTTTTCTTGCAGTCTCCCGAAGTTGCTGCTTACAACATGATTTCCAGTCAAGAAGCCCGGATCGCTGAGAGAAAAGCGCGGGCCGCTAAACGCCGGGAACAGGTAGAACGGAAAAGAAAGGAACGCGAAGAACAGTTGCGAAGAGAGAAGGAAATGGCCGAACGCCAAGAGAAACTTCGACAGGAACTTGAAGAACAACGACGCTTACTCGAAGAAGAACGACGGTAAGTAACCTGTAACCTATACGCGCGTTCGCGCATGCGCACACACACATACAGAGTTATTCAAAAAAAAAAAAAAAAGAGAGCAGATATCGAATATTTAATCAAAACAAAATGTTAAGAGACAGAAATATATTCAGCACATTACTGGATAGAAAAGGGTTCAAAGTTTATTATTTTAACGTTACACTTTGCGAATTGCAATACACAAAACGAGTTTTCTTGTGGTGTGGACATTTTAAGGGTTGACACAAATTATATCAATTTAAATTTATATAAAAACTGAAAAAAAAAACAAAAAGAAGTATTTAAACAAGATTAAAAAAATCATTAATTTGAACCTTTTCCTATTTAGTAAGCTGAATTAGAATTTGTTTTTTTTATTAAATTTTCAAAATTTGCCCTTCTTTTCAATAACACTCTATATAAATATATATCATCGCGAAAACTTGAAACGAGAGTAAAAAATAGCTAAAAATATATATAAACTTAATCTTATGGTATGATCATTTTTTTCTGCTAATTGAAAACAGAAAAATGGAAAAATAGGATATGACTATTATTTATACACTACAGTTAAAATGTTTGAGGACACCCTGTTTTTCTTTAAAAATATCTTACAAGGATCTGTCGATTTTTTACTATTGAAAGCAACAATGGTTGATCTTAACTCTGGAGCAGTTTCTTTTGTTTCTTTTTGTCTCAATAATCAGGTGATTATTTTCAGCAGTTGGCACTTTTGGTGCTCCATTATTTTCCTCTCGACATTTGCGCCAGTTTCTTTGTAATGAATATTACACTCCATATCTAGAAATCTTCAACTTCTTGGCAATTTGTATTTGAGAGTAGCTATCTTTTAATAAAATTTCATTTAGTGCCCTCACTTCAATACGTAGCCGTTTTTATTTTACCATTTTGTTCAGAGGATTAAGAATAAAAAAAAAATAACTAAAAAAATATTGTAACAGCACAATTTTTTTTCTTCAGAGAAATATATATATATATATATATATATATATATATATATATGTGTGTGTGTGTGTGTGTGTGTGTGTATGTCGTATGCAACATTAATCATTGCTGTGTTGACCTTTAGAACCTGTATGAACATTTAACTTAAAAAGTCTACTGAGGGGGTTAATGGTGAAAACATGTTTTATGTTTTTCATACAAAACATTCATAATTTAGCAAAATGTATTAAGGACAAGCGAATCCAAATTTGAACTTTTTGGTAGTAAGAGGAGCTAGGGAAAAGACTGAAAATTAACAACTATTTTCTTTGTTTTTGCTGTAGCATACCTACGGACGATAATGGGTATATCCCCATTCACATAAATACAGTAGTAAATACTGTACGTTGGTCTGCAGCTGGAGATATCTCACATTAAATTCGGCCTTGTGCCGCATCTGACCGCGTGGGGCGGTTAGTAGATATCCTGCATTTGGAGATTCATTGTGGAATTTACTTGACTCACTTCTAGCAGTTGACTACTACATCTACGCGCCGCTGGCGAATCTTATAAGTGTTGTTCTTATCCTAAGTGTTACCATTTTTTACCAACCTCTGTTTGAGTATTCTCTTCAGTAACCTGTGTTAGGTTACAACAGTTTTACATCGAGGTTCACCCTTTACAAGGGCTGGGGTCCACTAGAGGTAGAGGGGTACGCTTGGAGTCCATTTTGTCTGTGCAGAAGTCGAAGACAACGGTTTAGCAGTTTAAAATTGAAGTAATCGGGGAAACATCCTGTTGGGAGTCAGTTCCACAGGGTAGTGGTTCGCAGGAAAACCTGTTTGAGCGGGACTTACTTCTCACCGATGGAATGTGGACAGAATGTGGGGGGTTTGCTACTAAGTAAGTCGCATGGCGTATTCTTGCTGTGAAGGTTTGACACCGTGGGATCAGGGAATATAATTCATCGGAGCATCTTCCATAGAAGAGGCGTTAGAGCAGCGAGAGGCTTGCCAAATCCCGCCTTTGGGAGTGAGGTTGAAAGGTGGGAAATAGTTCGCCATCCACTAGGGCTCGAAAACGCTTTGAACTCTATCAAGGCTGGAGAGTGTGATCTGGGAACCTCCTTCCCAAATATGATAACAGTACTCCATTTTTAGTCTGATCTGGCTCTTGTAAAGTTGGAGGATAGCAGGAGGAGTCAGGTATTTACTGGAGTGTTACAGGGAACCAACTATTTTTATCCGCATCCTTAGCAGTGGATCATGTGTATGAGTTCTACTTGAGGTCTGTGTGTAAGTCCCAACAGGTGCTCAAAGTTTTGTTTTGTCATAATTATATGATATAAATGTTATAGAGTAGTTTCACAGTGGAGACTTGTATTTCACTAAGTCGGTCCTAAAAGGTTCGACGTACAAAACGTTCGGAACTTGATATAATAGTTAATGACGCTGCAATCTAGTTGTGGTGGCTGATACTTTAATGTCCGACTAACGGTCGTCCGACATCGACTGACTGATCAACTCTCTCCGCCACTGCTACTACTACTCCTACTTATTATAGGTGGGAGAGTCTATTAACTATAGAATAGGGGTGTTCCATTATAACAATAAATGGGGATGATCCCAGCAAAATGAGACAGATAACAGCTGCTTGAGTGGAACTTACTTTTCACAAATAGAATATGGTGACAATGATGGTAGTTTTCTGCAATGTGAGTGTCATGGCGGTAAAGGTTAGGACTGGCAGAAACGAGGAATGCAGTTTTTTTCCAAGCAATTCCTTGGAAATTGCAATAAAGGAGTGAAAGGATTGCTACATCCCATCTGTAAGAAAGGTGTTGCAGGGTGAAAAATAATTTGTTACACACAAAGACGTAGGGACACTTTTGGACTTTATTGAGATTGGAATTGACTGCCCAAATATGACAACAATACTACATTGTCGGCCTGATCTGGCTCTTGTAAAGGTAGAGGATATCAGGAGGAATCAGGTATTTACTGGAGCAATAGAGGGAACCAACTATTTTACCTGCATCCTTAGAAATGGATCATATGTACGAGTTCCACTTGAAGTTGGGTATGAGTTTAGGATCAGACAGTCTTTCGCGACACTGTGTTTCCCCGAGAGGACCTCCGTTCATCCTGATTGTTGGTAGTTCAGATCGGCGATGATAGAATGTAACTAGCTTGGTCTTCGAGGCATTGAATGTAACCAGCCATTGGTTAGTTTGCTCAAGATCAGAAGAGAATTCAATCGCCAATCTCTGACCATCGAGAGTTTTAGAGGTGCGCGCGTATATAGTCATATAATCGGCATAGATTTTTAGACCATTTATGTAAATCAAAAAGAGGGTTGGTCCGAGAAGTGACCCCTTGCGTTGACCTCTAGTGCTCCGGAGGACTGACTATTGATGGACCTACCCGTCAGGAAGGATTTTATGATCGAGAAGAGACTTCCAGTGATTCTGGAGAACTTGTGTAGTTAGCTTTTGTGCCACACCTTGTTAAAGATCTTTGAAATATCGAGTGCTATGGCTCTCGAGTTGTATTTGTCGTCAAGAGCCGCATTGATTCTGTGAGTGATGGTAGTTAGGACGACGTCACTGGACCTGGCCGAGCGTAGCCTATACTGCTCGTCGCTGAAGAGTGAGTTCTTTTCTAGGTGCTAGACGAACTTCTTATTGAATATAGCCCCAAAGACATTGCTGATGATACAGTGGAGACTGATGGGGTCTGTACTGGGAGAGGGAAGATCACACGCCGGCGTTCATGAAAACCAGGCAGACCTTGATACTTTCCACAGGCTTGGGAAGGATTTCTCCTTCAAGCAGCGGTTGAATAACTTTGTTAAGATTGGGGATAGTTCCAGGTTGATGTTCTTAAGGAAAACCTCCATAATTTTGTCTGGACCAGTGGATTTCTTAGGACCAAGGCCTTTGAAACTTCTCGTGCTGTGATGGTAACATTACTGAGATTGAGCTCAGTGAGATATGGGAATTTGAAGAGGGAATGGTCTTCGTCAACAAATCTTGAGTTAGAGGTAAAGATAGAGGCGATATATATATATATATATATATATATATATATATATATATATATTGAATGGATATGAGTTTGTAATCCTGGCTTTCACGCTTATGCGACCCACGGACAAGAGTTTGTTTGAGAATCGCATAAGCGAGAAACCCAGGGTTACAAACTCATATTCATTCAAATAAATATGTTACCTCTACTGCTTGTTGCTGAAAAGGTTGTCCTTTTCTAGGTGCTGGACAACCTTCTTATTGTTTATGATTTCAAAAAGCTTACTGATGGGTCTGTACTGGGAGGGGGAAGATCGCACGATCGCGTTCTTGAAAGTCCAGTCATATGCTTGACACTTTCCACAGGTTTTGGAAAGGATTTCTCCTTCAAGCAGCGGTTGAATAACTTTGCTAGGATTGGGGATTGGGGATAATTCCGGGTTGATGATGTTAAGGAAAACCACCGGAATTCTGTCAGAAACGGTGGCTTTCTTAGGGTCAAGGCCTTTGATAAGTCTAGAGACTTCTCGTGCTGTGATGGTAACATTACTGAGATTGTGTTCGGTGATACGTGGAAACTGGGGGAAGGGATGGTCTTTTTTCATCTAACATTGAATTAGAGGCAAATATGGAGGGGCGAAGAGGTTCGCCTTATCGGTCGAGGAAGATATCACCTCGAGGCCATTTATAATTTGGGGCACAGCCGTTTTACCTCTGCTCATGATTTGGTTGGTGTGAATTCACGGGATTTTCATTTTCGGATTTTTCAACTTTGCTCTGAACCGCTCGTGCGTAGATCCACTTGGCGTTTTCTAGGACTTGCAGCTATTATGGGCAATTCGGAAAGCAGTGAGGGCCCAACTGCTTCGCTCTTTGCGATAGATATAGAGGTGGGGTGTCGGTGAGTTATGGCTATAGCGTATTTAGGGGTGAACTTTTGGTTTTTGCTGGAATTTCTTTTGGGGTATAAAACTCTTCATTTCAGAAAGAATCCAATCAATGACAAGGGCAGCATTCTTGAAGAAGGTGATGAGAGGAGCTTCCATCATGTACGATCGAAAAATGTCTCAGTATGCCGACGCATAGCGGAAAATCATTCTATGGAACGGTAAATCAGAAGATGCCTTAGGTTTGGCATGAATCTGGACCCTGATTAGTGAATGATCTGACGTGCCTAGTGGATGTAAAACTTTTGATAGGCATTTCTCAGACCAGGAGTTTAGGAAAGAGGTCAATGGGGTTCGCCTGATGTCCTGTCGTGTCCAGGTATGTTCTCCGATGATTTGGGTTAGTTCATAGGCGATGGGGAAGTCTCTGCAATATATGCCTTCAACGCTGGTTTTGTTGGAATGGACTAGCCGCTCTTTATGGTAGATATTGAAGTCACCGCAGATATGAAAGCTGGCTGAGGGGAATTGAGTTAGTATATTATCAATCTTCACGGGTATTTCGTCTAAGATTACCGTCTGTTCATTCTGGGGACGGTAGAAAGCAAAGATGATTGTGGCCCAATAGATAAGTGCCACGCGGTAGGACATATACGAGAGATCGGGTTCCTCGTTTTTTGCGTCCCTGCCGCTAGGAAACGCGTTCTTGATGTAGGCTTCGAGTCTGTGGCCGTGACGATTTAGCTGGTCATGTTTGGTTATGATGGATGAGTAACCTGGGACAGAGAACTCCCATAGTGCGCATGAAGCGTTGATACCAGTTTCAGAAAATAGCAGGATGTCTAGTTTAGATTTGGAGAAGATGGCGCTCCACTTCTGAAAAGTTGGAATGTAGACACCTCACGTTGGTGCAGGAGATGGTATACGAGCGATGTACTTTGTGTTTTTAGGGTTGGGTTTGATAGTTTTGTTCGTTTGTATTTTGATTGGTTTCATGTGTGCATTGGGATAGGACTAGAGACCCCCACCCAGGAGTTGCATGTATAGATAACCTGGAGAGAGCTGTTCAGAGATACAGCCGTAGCAGTACCCTTCATCATGGCATCGAGACGCCCCACGGAAGACTACTGCACGAACCAGAAAACCTTCACAAATTCGCAGTAGAGTAGCCCCGATATTATACACCTGCTGACAGGATAGCCTCCTTCGGAGTTATTTGAAGGTTCGGATCCCTGTCTATCAGGCGGATGACGTCAAATCTCAGAAAAAAAGTCTACCTTCAGCGCACTTAATTAAGGGACACTCAAACCAGGAAAGAAACTACACGCGTTGTGCTCCGTGTGAACATGTCGCGTCTGCGCAGAAGTCAAGGCGAGAGAGCTCCTCCTTGGGCCAGAAACATCGTACGGGTCAGAGACCTAAAGACACCGAGACAAGCTCGCTCATGTACTTGAGGACTAAGGGACCCAATGATAGAAGGTGGGTAACAACGATTGCTCGGGGATACATGTGTATTCCCTACCACCATTTGGATTTGTATATGGTGGTTACTAGGGCGGGAGCCCGCAAAGGGCAAGTTATCTATCAAGGAGTAGAAAGAGAAAAAAAGAATGAAAGTTTCAGGGTTCCAAAGGAGAAGCATTATGGATCGGGGGGGGGTGATTATGGATAGCGTGTGTGGAACAGCTTTAAAGATTTACAGTTTTAAAGAATTAAAGATTTAAACTTTTAAAGATTTAAACTTTTAAAACTTTTAAAAATGCCCTGTAGTTACTGAAAGTTTTTCTTTTACATTAAAAAATACAAAAAATATCTCCATAAAATAACATTGCCTTTTTAGTTTTTCAAAAATGTCGATATTAAAGATCTTTCAAAATTCATTTAATTATTGGATTGTGATGAAACTATTAGTATTTACGTAAAAGAGAATATTTTTTAAAGCAATCTCAGTTTCAAATTTTAAATAATTAAAAAAATTTCACACGCGTTCTGTTGATGGTATACTATTATTAACTACGGATGCACAGACTTAACATCATTTCCTCTTTTCAGAACAAATTGAAGTATATATTTTACATTACTTACAAAAAATTTTGTAAGAAATTTCTTAGAAGAACTAACCAAGTTAATATTATAGGTTATGATATAGATTATATATGGAATGTTGATAATTGCAATGTGCAGTTTAATATATATATATATATATATATATATATATATATATATATATATATATCTTACATTTTGCTAATAATAATTATAAAATGGTTTATTTTACAGAAGATGAAGATGTTGAAGACTACAAAATGTTAATATATGACATAGCTAATTGTTTTCTCATACAAATCACTGAAATATGTTGCATTTTGTCTTCCATATAAATCATTTTTTCTGATTAATTAACTGTAAATATTTTTGTATATACAGGGGTTGGACAAAATAATTGGAATAATAAATTCAAAGAAAATTTATTTAATATGGAGTTGGTCCACCTTTAGCCTCACAGACAGCTTTAATACATCTAGGAATGGAATCATACAGCTTCCTGACTTCATCCAGAGGAATTTTTAGTCATTCTTCCATTAAAACCTTCTCCAGCTCTTTACGACACGACGGTAGAGGATACCGGCTCCTAACTTGTTGCTCCAAAATGCACCACAAATGTTCAATAATATTGATATCTTGAGATTGGGGAGGCCACTCCATGTGTTCTAGTTCACTTTCATGCTCTTCATACCAATTCTTAACCACTTGAGCAGTATGTATTGGAGCATTATCGTCTTGGAAGATGCAGTTACCATCAGGGAATAAAGTTTTGGCCATTGGATGAACATGATCTCCCAAAATGTTCAGGTAATCTTTGCTGTTGATTCTACCATGCAGGGCATCTCTTGGACTGAGACATTTCCATGATATGGTGGCCCAAACTATCACTGTTCCACCTCCATGCTTCACTTTTGGAAGAAGGCAGTCAGGGTTGTAAGCTTCTTTGGGTTGCCTCCACACATAAACTCGCCCTGAACTTGGGAAAAGAGAAAAACTGGACTCATCTGAGAATGTGACTTGTTTCCATTGGTCTGGAGACCAGGCATTGTGATCTCTGTACCACTTCATCCACTTCTGAATGCTGTGAGTGGAGAGAAGACGTTTCCTCACAGTGGCTCTTCCATGATATGCAGCCTTATGGAGCTCACGGTGAACAGTTTTAGTAGAAACTGAACTATTCAGATGTTTATTCAACTCAGCAGTCACTTTGGCCGCATTTGTTCGATGATTTTTTGCCACATTGCATTTCAATGCATGTCAGTCCCTGTCAGTAAGTTTGCAAGTCCGGCTCGAATTGCTACGGTTGCTAGAGGTCTTGCCCTTTTTCTCGAATTGCATTAGTGTTATTGATATGGTAGCTCTTGAAAAAACAAACAGTTCAGCAACCTTAGCGACCGAGACTCCTGCCATGTGAGCTCCAACAATTTGCTCTTTTTCGAACTCTGAGAGGTCACGCATTTAGCTTAAATTTTACTAAATTCTAAAAATAAATAAGTCAAAGACAGTAAATTAGATAAATAAACGTATTTACAATAGATATAACCCGGAATTACGAAGTTTTAATTAAAGTTCTTAATATAATAGGTCTTTGAAATATAGGAGTGGATTTTGCAACTGTTCCAATTATTTTGTCCACCCCCTGTATATCACTTGTGCATAAGATTTAAGTTTGTTTTCTATTTAGAAAATAAAATAGTTTGATTCCTCATTTTTTCACATAAAATTGTATTTCTTTAAATATCATAATAATCATTTTCACCCAGAATATTTGATTATTTGACACCAAGAAAAATTAAATATATTTGAGTTTTTCGTTTATTCTTTATAATCAGCATTTCATGTGACAAAATGTTTTCTTGAATAGATTTTTTAAAAACTAATCATTGTTCTATTTAAATAATATCTCGATGATCAACAACAAAAATTACAGAAAAATAATTAGTCCACAAAACATAAAATATTGCTTTTTTTTTGTTTTTTACGGGCCACCGTATTTACAAACGGTAGCTATTCGTTTAAAAAAAAACAGACTGGCTGTCGCCAACCGGTAATACAAATATCACCCAACACACCCAAATTGGCCTTTGACACGAACTGATTGATGCCAGCCACCTGTCATAAAAATACACCCTTGAAAAAATGTTTTTGTAGTGATATGCAAATGACTGCTTAATTAGCAATAGCTATATTTATAGACTATATAAGTGACTAAGCAGTAAGGGTAGGGTAGCTCTCGGTATACGAAATAAACGGCCACCGCTGCGAATACGAAAGAAAGCACACTACATAAGTTATTTTTTATCAAATTTAGAAAATCACCGGCGTATTTAAATCGTTAAAGTGTGAAGTAATTATTTTCAATTGTCTTAAATTGTTACCATTATTTTCATTTTAAATAGATTTTTTAAAAATTATTTGTTTATAGTATCCACTTGACGGTCAACCAGATAACAGACATTGTTGCTTTTACCGATAAAAGAAAATTCTTCACGTTAATTGATTCAACTTTAATTAATTAAAAATGTTTTATTTGCAAGACGCAATATTAGGGTCTTATGTTTACTTTTTACATTTTTAAATTATATTTTTTGACAAGAAATTATGATTTAAATTGCTGATATATATATATATATATAGGGAAATATAAAATTAGTGGTAAATATATGTACATATGCAAAATATATAAATACCCAAGTGGAAAAATGTTTTTTAAGAAATGGAAGACAATTTATTTTTGCCATTAAGGACATCAAGCAGATCAAATGCTCTGTTTTATAAACAGTATATATATATATATATATATATATATATATATATATATATATATATATATATATATATATATATACTGTTATAAAAATATCATAGTGGTAAATGTTATACATACATATATGCAAAATATATAAATACCCTGTTTATGATAAACATGTATATTTTTGAATAAAAATTCCGAGACGGAAGAAGTCGAATTCAGATTGTAGTTTATAACAGTAAATTCGAACTACCATATATATATATATATATATATATATATATATATATATATATATATATATATATATATATATAAACATGTGTTAATAAAAATATATATATATATATATATATATATGTGTGTGTGACAAAACATCCCATATATATATTGTTATACTTGACGTATCTATTCTATTGTTAATGGACTCTCCCACTCATAATAAGTAGTAGTAGTTGTAGCGGTCGCCAGTTGGGCTCAGTGGTGTTGAGTGAGTCTGTCGGACATTGGAGTATCATCCATCACAACTAGATTTGCTGCGTCATTAACTCTTATTTCAAGTTCGTAACGTTTTGTTCGTCGAACCTAATTTAGGACGGCCTATTGAAATACAAGCCTCCACTGTGAAAACTACTCCACAACATATATGTATGACTATCCATATATAATTATATATATATATATAGTTTTTTATTTAAAAATTATAACATAAATATGTTATAAAATCACTACAAAAATAGCCATTTTGTTTCAACACCTCCGGTGTCTTATCAAGTGATGATGTTGAATGTAAAATAAATGGTTTTAAAAGTTTTAAATTAATTAACGATACTTCACAAGAGGAAATTCATTCCGTATATACTCTTTTAAGAATAGTAATTGTTGGTTATTGGAATTCATTCCGTATACACCAATCGTATACTTGCGTATATATGTATATATATATATATATATGAGAAAAACATACATATATATATACACATATGTGACAAATATATATATATATGATTTGTCATATATATAAATATATATATACATATGTGACAAATATATATATATAAAAGGAAAGACTTAACCCATCATCGAAAATTCGGTTATAAATTATAATTTATTTTTCAGGTAAGTATTTAATACCTGTCTTATCAGACAGAAATTACAAATGGTTTTACATTGAACTTTTATATTAATAAGACCTACTTGGCTAATCCTTTCCACTTCCCGATCTCAGACAAGACTTGGTTGAGGTTTATATTTTATTTCAGATTGAATTAAACTTCACATAAGGTTATTTTTCTTCGAGGTGTCAATGGATCGACTATCACTAGCGATGATGATCTAATTTCTCAGCAAATTTGACTCTCAAGAACACCCGAGGTGTATCACAAAAGTGCGCGTACAAAAGATATATTTTTTTCTTCGGGGGATGGGGAAAAGACAAATGTGCGAGAAGTTGTGAAGAGCCATGATCACTCACCTCTTGAACGGATACGGCGAATAAATGAAGAAGACCTTAAAGAGTTTTGCTAATGATAATTCAGAAAAGAAAATGTTTGTGCTCTAGGGACCGGAGATCCTGACTTCAGACAACACCTCCCCACCGTACCAAAAAGAGAAGATGATATTCGCTCACCGTGTAAAAAAAGTTTGCATCAAGTGTGGACGCTGGACAAATAATTAAAATGTTTTGGAACTGAGGCGACGTTATACCAGAAATTGTCTCGATTTTTCCGAAAGTAATCTTTGTTAAATAAAAATGTTTCAAGAAAATACAGATGAGATGATATACGTTAAAATGATTTTTTCGTCAAGGCTACAAATTAATTTCGTTTAACTGAAAAGCGTTCGCTAAGAAATACCTCGTCTTGTTCCCTTTTTAGAATTCCTCAGCTATTACTAAACGCTTTCAATCGCGTGTGTATTACCTAGACCAGGGATTGAACGCACATCACTACGCTCTAAAAGTCATAAACCAGCACATTAATCCAAGCGGTTAGAGGCCCTAGAGAGGCAGCATGATGACAACAATCTATCCAGTATATTAAATAAACAGTTCAATTCGAAATTCCCTGAAAGTTACCAGATAGACAGATACCTGAAGAAGGCCGGGGGGCATAAAAGGCGAAACGTTGTGATAATAACAAAAAAGATAAGGACGATAGTTCGTGTGTAAATAATGTAATTAATGCTAACTCTTCGTCTCAGAAGTTAAGGCGAAAATTAACTTAAATCATAATTAATTCACTAGAAGCAAGCATAGGCGATGAATTAATAAATGCATTTGGTAAACGAACACAGAACAAATATTAATCAATATAGAAATGTAGATAAAAGTAAATATAGGAACTGAGTAAGGCAATGCATAGTTAATCCCGTTAACATGGCCGACATATTGGTCTGGTAAAACTTAATGAGTCACATCGAAATAATGAGAAAGCGTGAAAGGGGGAGAAGTGGGAAACGCAGCTGCAACATGGGCGAGATAATATACCACGTGTCGTTACCTAAAGGTGTGCATATGTGAAAATATGGAAGCAGTAAAGGAGGAGGAGGAGGAGGAAGAAGAAGAGAAGAAGGAAGAGGATGAGGAAAGAGGGTAGGGTGTGAAAACCAGTGAGAACGGAGACATGGAATAAAAGAACAACAAAATAGAGAAGAGGAAAAGATGAGAGTAAGGCAACGAAAAGGAGGAGGAGCTTGAGTAAAGAAAAATAAATGGTGCAGACTGAGATAGATAGGCAGAGAGACACGTGAGCGGGCGAGAGAGAGAGAGAAAAAAAGAGAAAGAGAGAAAAAGAGAGGGAGGAATAAGGGAAGGAGAGGAAGAAAGTGGTGGAAGGGGAGAGAGAGGGAGGAAATTAGCTGAATGCAGGAGGCGGAAATCAAGAAGGGTAAAAACGAAATAGGAAGAATTTTGCCAATGAACGCGGTTGTAAAGATTTTATCAATGAAACAAAACAAAATAAAAAGAAAAAACAACAGCAAAAAAAAAAAAAAAGAAAAAAACGGTTAACTCAAATTGCAGACAAATTCAATGATTATTACCATTTAACATTTGATGCATTTTAAAATTTTTGCTTTTTATAAAAATTGTTAAATTTAAGGGAATTAAAAGGAACAATTTTCGCTTTACATTTTCTGAAATAAAAATGCTAATAAACAATAATTCTTCCTCATATTTCAATTCATTCTCATAGAATTCTTTTCCTATCTATCTATCTATCTATCTATCTATCTATCTATCTATAGGGGTGCTGAAGAGTTATCAGCAAGATCCACTGAACATTCGATGTTTTTGATTGAATTTGCAGCCTCGATCTAAGTGTCAATCTGCCTTTCTTTCTCCAACCTCTCCATCTCACATCTTATCTTTTTCATATCTATCTATCTATCTATCTATCTATCTATCTATCTATCTATCTATCTATCTATCTATCTCAGTTTATTCATTATCTATCTATCTATCTATCTATCTATCTATCTATCTAACAGTCTCTTCCTACTTATCTCTCTATCTGTTCGTATCACTCTCTTTCAGGATCTATCTATCTATCTATCTATCTATCTATCTATCTATCTATCTATCTATCTATCTATCTATCTATCTTAGGCATATCGTCTGCCGTGACACAGTTAAACGGAGGAGGTCCGGTATTTGTTAATAACATTTGTCGGAATTGTGGCCATGATAATTGATGGAAATGATACGCAGTGGGAGAAGGATAATTGGGCAATATGTGTTTCCTCTTTTTGCACCTGCGCTATAAAGTATTTCTCCACACCCACGACCTGCCTGATTTTATTTGTTGATAAGCAACCGGATATATATATATATATATATATATATATATATATATATATATATATATATATATATATATATATATATATAAACAAACATACATGCATATAGGCATGGAGATATTAATGACGATGTTCACATTGAAATATTTCCTTATGAAAAAGTATGTTGTTGCACACACACACACACACACACACACACACACACCCGCGCGCGCGCACACACAGACACACGCATATGTTTCTCTCAAGAGGCTATATAAGTATTGTTCTTATAAACAGATTTTTTTATAGCTGAACACGCACATATTTGTATATATCATATATTTTATGATTCTGTCAGGGAGAAGCCATATCTGTAAGTCAATATACCTTTTGTACAGTTGAACACACACACACAAACATGAAAACTCACACTCGTGCACACGTATACACTGGTACACGATATATGCGTATTCATGCTGACGCATAAGCCCAAACACAATATATGTACACACACAGCGCTTCCTCTATTTTTTAAAACAGGGACGCATTTATATCTAAAAAAACATTGTTAAACGTGAAACTGACACTCACCATGCTGTGTTGAATCCTATGTCCGCACTCTCTCTACTATAAACGGCCTATGCCTGATACTAAGCACTCTTCCTTAATAAATATAGCAAATATTAAGCTACATATTCACACAAACCCGAACACGCATAAAACACACACACACACACACACACACACACACACACACACACACACACACACACACACACACACACATATATATATATATATATATATATATATATATTATGGAAGCTATATTTAGTAGAGATATATGTTTAATAATAAATTTTAAAACAAACCCCAAAATACCAGAGTGCTGACCATTATCGACGCGACTCTCACTTACGACAGATGTCTGCAACTACGTTCGTACGATTCCCTTATATAGGCTATAAGAAAAGCCAGACAGGGCACACACACACACACACACACACACACACACACACACACACACACACACACACACACACACACAGAGAAAGAGAGAGAGAGAGAGAGAGAGACTTTTCACACACACACATATGCAAAGCATTATTATTATAAACGTTATATTTAGTAGTGATATAGGTTGAGCAATAAATAAATACAAATAAACTACTTCATCACATTCTCCGTAATCTCTAATCAGAAATGTCATTTTAACGACAGTTTTCTGCTTGGGAAAAGCCAGAAGCTTCACAGACCAAATTTGGATTGTAGCGAGACTGAAGTACTCGGGACGATAAGGTGTTGTGTCAAAATAAACAGGGCGAAAAATAAGCCGTGAAAATATTACAATTGGTTGGATACTTTCCGGTCAGTACATGGTTTAAGACAGTGTTCAAATACGAACAATTTAGGTTAAGGTTTATGCCTCTTCACTCAGATCAGATGATTAGTTGTAAACCGAGAATTTAATGTCATAAATTATCAACCCTTGTTACGTTTCGTGTCGTCTTTGGTTTCCATTCTAAAAATACCGACACTGCACCATAGAGACCCCACCGACGACAGTCAATTTACTTTTTATCAGGCATTATTTTATGTGGGACAATAGATGTGGCATCGTTTTACGAAAAATCGAGAAGAATTGCCTTTTTAAGTCTGACATTAATTAAGAATATATATTAAGCACCCTTACCCTATGAATATAGTAAATTTCAAACAATAGACACTATGAGTCAAAAGCACGGTGGAGTAATAGATAGGGGGACGGATTGAGAAATCGGAGAGCCGAGTTCGAATTCTAGTCGAATCCATTACATTCACTAATACCCTTGGGAAAAGTGTGAATCCTCTTCTTCTCCCTGCTATGGTCAAATAGCAGGACAGGCCGGGTTCTATAGCCTTGGATGGCAACTGGTCTATCGCAGAAAGAAATGGCAACCTACTGCGTGAAAAAAAAAAACACTGCCTCGTCAGTCATGTATCGCCTAAGCATGTATCATGCATGACACATAACAGACTGACTCATAAAATGACCGTAACCCCCAGAAAAGGGGGTACGGTGGAGTAATGGATTGAGCCGAGTTCGAATTCCAGTCAAATCTATTACATTCACTTACGTGCTAATACCCTTGGAAAAGGTATGAATCTTCTTATACTCCCAGATATGGCTAAATAGCAGCATAGACCGGGTTCTATAGCATTGGATGGCAACTGGTCTACCGCAGAATCTACCGCGGGGAAAAATCAGCCCCATGAGTCATGTATCACCTAAGAGTGTATCAGCCATGGCATATAACTGACTGACTGATGAACCAAAATTCATTTTTTGGTTTAATTGACACCTACGAATCTAGGGAGCTGAAACCATCTAATCCATCTACAAATTTAAAACCTGTCAACCAAAGGTAATCCGTCCTGGGTATGATAATAAACTACATCCGGCAGCAAGACCTCTGCTCGGGAAATTTTTGTTGTTTTTTTTGTGGTCTAACCTAGGGCAGTAACAGCTGTTAGGGTCATTACTATGGGTAAATAGTTAACGCTTAAACTGGGGTCAAAACTCTGTGAAAGTATAAAAATCTTTTCATAGTAAAAATACCAGCAATACATTTTTGTAAAGGAATGACTAATGCTACCAATAAAATTAAATTTCGGTATTAAGTGACCCATGAAGTGTTGATACGTCGCTAAACAAACAAACAAACAAACCCAACCATTGGTAATAGTAATGGTAATAGCCGTTTCCTTATAAGGAAACATTTGGCATTTGTTGACCGAGCATCCATTACTGCTATCGATTGAAATTTATAAAATCTTTATCTTAAAACTTTTCAGGAAAAAAGGTTTCTCAAGTTCAATAACTTTTCAGTATTGATGGATACTTCTTTCCCAACCTTTTGCTTGAGATAGTGTGCAACGTCAGTTTATTAATTATGCCATTATTTTCTCTTTGAGTTACATGGATGATCAATTTTAGTTGTTGTTGCTGTTGGAAGTCTTTAAGTGATACGGTTTCTGATATTTGGTAAAGTTCTTTGGGATTCTTTAGCGCTAGTTTACAAGTTTCGAAAGATGATCTTCAGCAATTCACCCAGGCTTCACTCGTTGGCCGTTTCGATCTGACCAGGCTATTTAAGAATATGATTCGAATTTTCGGGTTAATGTTTTGATTTTGTAGCAATGTGCGTTGTTAGGTGAAGCTACCTTAAGCGCAGCATATTCTTTTCATCCACAGAGTAGAAGTGCGAGAAAAGAAACAGACTAGAAGAGATGCTCACATATAGCTATTTCAACAGGAAAACGATTAGACCTAGTAGTACACTTAAGTTCATATATTCAACGTACCAAGGAGGAGAGCATTATTTATTTGTACAAATACAAAATGTGGCACAAGGACAAAAAAGCGAATAGGGAAAAGGACGGTCTTGTTCTGTCTTAACGTTAAACTTAGCCAGCCACAAACACCGACCTAAACATACAACAATATTCTTAACCAAAACAAGGCATTCTTACTAACCATTCTTACTTCATCCACCATAATACCTCAGAATTTCCATGAAGTCCTAGTCCCCATCTGTAAGGTGCGTTTCATTAAGATGGATTATATATAAGGGTGTTTCATTAAGACGGATCAAAGTCAACATTAAATAAATCAGTATTATTGGTGAAAATTCATTTATTTCTCTATTGGATCATGTTGTTTAAGTCATGGCAATTATGGGTGAAAATTAAAATCACCCAAATGTCCGCTAAATCTGAAAGAAAAAGAAAAAAATCATTAGACGCTTAAACGTAATTCACATTAAAACCGGTTCAAGTTATTGGAACACCCTTTACAATTCATTATCTGTGGTGGGGGAGGGGAATAGAACAATAATTTAAAATCTATCCCCAATACATATTTATAATATAAAAAAAAAAAAAAGGAAGAGAGCTCATTTGAACAATTTTCATGAAAACATTTATAGAAAACACAGCGGAAAGCCACGTCACTAGAGTCAAGATGCCAGGTGAGGACCAATAACAATTACAAACCCTTTCTTTAGATTTTGTTTTGAAAATCTCGATATATAGCGTAGGATCATCAGATCAGATATGGTAGAAAAGCCATCCCTCACTCCTGAATGGATTCTTTATAGTTTGAAGAGTTTTATATCACACAGAAAGTATCAGTAAAGACCGACTAGCCAGCCTTGGTTCACGCATAAATGTGTTGTTGTCATATCTCACCATAACTAATACTGTCATCTCTATCACAGGGAACGGTATAACAGAAAGCTTTTCGCAGAATTGCCCGCAATCAGTGCACCTGGAAAAATGCAAAAAGCAGTTATGTGCAGTCAAAGTTGAATACAAAAGACTTTGTCTGGTTTGGTTTGGTTTATTTGGTTTTACGGCATATAAACCTCAATTGGTTATTTAATGCCGACAAGATTCTTATTGCTGATAATATTTTTTTTCGAAAAATATATTGCTCTAATATTCTTTCTTCAAAAATATATTGCTGGTAATATTTTTTTCCTTAAAATTATATTGCTGGTAATTTTTTTTTTCCTTAAAAATGTATTGCTGGTAATATTTTCTTCCTTAAAAATGTGTTGCTTGTATAAAATTCACATTTTGGGCTCATCCTTTTTCTAATAACCATGCATTCTGTGTTCTTACAGTTGATGTTTAATCCTTTCATATCGCCTCCTTCACTAACTTCTGTAGGAGTTTAAAAATAGGAACATCTACTCAAACCAGAGTATCTAGTAGAAATAAACGAAAAGGGAATCGTTACTCAAGCAAAAGGAACAAAAATTCACCTCATTTACCAATCGGCCATAGTGAGATTCGAACATCGGCTTTATAATCGGAACTCT